TATGAGTCAGTGGGATTAGGATAGGGAAGGAGAAGAAGAAGCGGGGCATGGGGAGTAAACAATAACATTACTATTAGCACGACTACTTCATAAATATCTCTGGCTGTCGTGGCATCGCTCAGATCTTGCCAAGACCGGCGCCCTTCTTCACGATCTTCTCGACTTCCTTGAGCTTAGTAAGCTTGTACTTGTACGGAGCCTTGGTGAAATTGCCAACTTGAGTAATATTGACAGTCGCCTTTCCAAAGTCATTCTTTGCACCAAGGTTTGCAAAGCCGTCAATCTCAAAGTCACCATCGGGGCTCGTGTTGGGGCTGTCCTCTGGGATGACCAATCCATATGTGCTGAGAGCCTCGCGTGTCTTGCCCTTAAAGACGTTGCCTTCAACAAGAACCTGGTTGTCGCTGCGTGAGTGGATGGCTTGGTACAGGAAGTCGACGTAGAGGTTGTTGTAGATGTGCTGGTGGCCGAAACGACCGGCAGGGCCACGGGTGCCCTCGTTGCGCCAGTAGTTGTGGTGGTAGGTGACATGGAGGTGACCTTGGTCGACATCCCTGAGCGCATCGCTGTTGCCAACGAGAGAGCTCTTCCAGTGGTCGTGGAAGTAGTTCCATGAGACTGTGATCCAATCTGCGGCGCGGATGATGTCTACTTGGCCGTCATACGCATCCGGGCCTAGAGCAGGAAAGTTGCCAGTAGTGAACTCGTTATGGTCGATCCATACGCGGGTGCTGTTACGAATCGTCATGCAGTCGTCGTCAATCGCTGTAAATCCGATGTTGCGAATGATGACATTGGTCTTGTTGAAGATGTTAAGACCCGAGCCAGTGATTTGAGCTCCTTTGCCCATTCCAATGAGAGACTTGTTCGACCCTACTTGGACTCTTGATGTGAGGTTGAAGTTGCCCTTGGCGTAAATGACTGTTGGCTCGCTGCCGTTCACAGCTTTGATGAACTCGGCGACCGTCCGAACAGTGACGCTCTTGCCATGTTTGCCAGCACCACCAGTGGTTGGTCCAATTGGGTTGTCCTTGGCGAAACCGACGAGGCTAAAGTCAGCCCCTGGAGGAGCTGCATTCGCACATAGTGTGAGGGAAAGGAGTGATAGAATTGAGGGCTTCATCTTGAGGTAGAAGATGCAGATGAGTTTGCGTGATCTGATGCCGATCAACCAGCGACATCACTTACATTTTATATACTGCCATTTCGAGCGTCGGCAATCAAAGAGCCAGTAAATGGCCATGTAGTCGGCATCCAGGCTTCGAGGCGTCCATCATTGCAATTCTTCCGGCAAAATGGCTGATGGCGCATTGTCGTACAGGCTCGAAAAACTCCCACTCGCGCAAGTGCATGCTGCGTCCATCACCGTGATGCTGTACTTCATCTTGGCCTATCTTGGCGGACGTGCATTCCGCCCCAGGAACGGCAGCAGGTATTGCGCAACGTTAGACTGGTGGCTGCAGTTTGTGGTGTTGAGTGGTGGAAAGAGGCATCCCCAGATTTTCCCGTGGCTGGAAGGCTCGATCGCCTCTTCGGACGGCGGGGAAAATACGGGGGAATCGGCTTGGCGCGCAATTCCACCAGTACGGACCACGGTTCCCTGCTTGCTTATTTCGTTGCATCTTAACGTTCTGTCGCCGAAGCGTATTTCGAAACTGGTTTCTAGAAGCGAGATGAGCCATCGAAGCTGTCAAAACTCTCTCAGCATTGCAATGTTTGCGTGCGCTTGACTCGCTTGTTGCAGCCACCAAGATTGTTGCCTTGCCGCCCAGGCAAACATCGCATGTGAATCGGCGAAGACAACATACGGGCAAGTCAAATTGGCTGTTTCGCCATTCGATAGAAAGAGATCATCTGTCGAATGAGCGGTGCATTTCAACCGCCTTGGCTTTCTTATCGTGTACTAACGCTGTGGCAAGACCGAGGTTGTTCCAGGGGTCTCGAACAACGACTGTGCGACACCGCTGTTTTGCGATGCCACAGGCTGCGACCTTATAGGAAGTGAAGCTGGCGAGGTAATCGTCCGTCCTTTTTACGCGAAGTCTACACTGTCAGCACTTTGACAGCCTGGGATCCGGTACTTTCCTCCATCATGGTGCGACGATGCTTGTCGAAACTTGGTGCTTGACATACAAGCGATAATGCGACAAAGCAGATTGTCGCGTTGACTGAAGGAATAAAAAAATTCTTTGTTGAAGGTATTCCGTTCAACCACAAAGGCCAAGTATTGAGACCATCCTGCACACTGTGAGGATCAGAAAGGTTTCCGCAGTTTCACGGTACGACCTCCGCACTACGAGCGCATTTCGATCTCTTTCCTAGGACGGCCAACCTGTATGCGTGGTAGAAGACGAGATATACACTTCCAAGATTTACCCGAGACATGACCGAACAACAGCGTATGGAGGAGATCAATCGCGCGTACGAGGTATTGGTCAACCCAATCTTGCGGACGCAGTATGGTGATCGTTATCGGTCCATACTAACGCAGGGTGCTCAGCGTTTCAACACAAGTAAACAAGGGTGGAAGGGGAGGAAGAAGACTCCCTGGACGGGATGGCCTGAAGGTCACCTCTTTCCGCGATGGAGGCCTTCGCCACCGGGAGCTTGGCCTCTGGATTGCGTAACGAAGCAAGAGAAAACACCGGAGCTGAACCATTCTCATGAAGATCTGCCACCGTCGTCGATTATGAGGGCACAATGTGGTGTGCTGAACGAGGAACCATCGTCTCAAGATGTTCCACGGGATCGCGAGCCAGGAGGAAGTACTGTTCACGGCCTGCCTCAATCAGAGAAGGAGCGTCCAGGAGAGGATGATGACGCTTCCAAGCCTGGAAATTCGCACTGTATGTTGCGCAACTTGCGCTACCCGGTTCCCCATCCGAGGAGGAAGAAAGCGGAGAAAGATAACCCGAAGCAACCACGACAACGCAACCAGGCGACTAGAACCACACATACGTTCAAGCGACGGTGGCCTTGGGTGAGACAGCCAGCACCGAAACGAAGGTTGTTGAGGGAAGTGTTGGAAGACGAGTATGGACGCACGATAGAACGGTTCCGGGACGACTTCTTCCGGTGTGAAAATCTCAGTATTTGACGGAGTAGATAGTCAAGCGACGACAAAGGGCGTCTCCACCCAAAGAGCAGGCAGCCCCAATGACTGAGGGAGCCAAGGGGGAGGAAAGAAAAGAAGATCGTGATGAGAGCATCAAGCGCCGATTGAAGGAATACCTGTGGAAGAGGATAGACCATACGACCATTTGGAATTAGAGTAGAGATGACCAATTGATGATGATCGCGTTTGAGTTCATTCGTGCAATGGCGAATGACCCTCTCCTGATATGGTATATCCGCGGAAAGACTGTCGTCCAGAATGACGATGACTGGTTCTCAAATCCAGTGCTCTACATCGAAATGGGCCTACTTGCCGCTTGTCTGGCCTGGTAGATGGCACGTAGGGCCAGTTCATGTGAACCGAACATGCAGTGATCAGAGACGCCGAATGGTTCAGATTTGTGAAAAGCCGATTGTGCGAGATCCGCGGACTATATGCCGGTAGATGGAGTGACCGGTAGGAACCAAACTTCGCATCAAGATGTTGTGAGAAGCGAGGCATTCGGTAGGAAGTAAAGCCTCTCGATCTCGGCTAGGCCGCGACGCATTGTAATCAGAGACGAGGGTGACCAGTAGAAGATTCTAATTCTGCATTGCGGGATTGAGCAGCTCGGCCGCGGCACCCAACTGCATCTACCCTGCATGTCTTGCAGTGACCCACTCCTGAAACCGCTGTCTTGGGTGAGTCCAAATTGTACACGGTCGATGGTATGGATGGAATTGCATGTGAAAACGCGACGAAAGACCGTACATCATGCGAAAGGCTCAACGCTTGGGACGCTGGGACAAGGTATCGCTTGCGATGTAGGCTTATCTACCTGTTGTTGGGTTGGTGGTACGATTGCCGCTCAGGTCCAGCGACCGAAACGCTCATAGCACCAATGAATTCGATCGCTGCAGTGCCATCCCACGTGCAACGATGGGATTGGGTAAGAATCATGCGGCAGTCAAACATCGATGTCAGTGGGGTTCCAATGAAACCTCGGGTCGGTCATTGCAGCAACCCTAGACGGGATTGCCTCCGATAGCCTGCACCTCAAAGTGTCAGAATTTTGCTCCCTGATAACCGGATAGGTGTTAGTGAGCAAGCTAATTCGCCAGTGTGCTGGTAAGTAGTTTGGTATCGGGATCAACCGACAGTCCAGAATACGGGTCTCGCACGGCAGGCTAGCGGAGACAGTTGCTTGATGCATGCAACCCCATCTGACGGGCCCGGTACTAGTCGGTCGAGGCATGGGGTACGGGACCAGGTTCAGTTCGAGCCATTCCTCGGAGAAGACGAGACAAGACTGATCAGGTAGGTCGGCGGCATACGCGTTGGATGTCATCGTGAGTGTTGATCAAGGGTCTAAAGGCAAGCCACAAGATCATAAGGATGCACCCAAGCTTTCCAAGAGAGTCTTGAGTGCGAAGAAGCTCCAATCCTTCGAAGGTCAATCGGGGCGATGTTGGGAGAAGGCGTTCTGGCCGTGCCCCTTTTAGCGTCTTGGCGTAGCACGTGGGGTACATGATTGGATCGAACGTCCTCTCCTCGCGTTCCCTTCACCACACCAGATGCGCGGCAAGGATAACCCTCAAGACGCGTCAAGCCTTGTGGCGGCCTGGGCTCGCAAAGGCGCATCTTCACGAGTGAGTCTGCTGCTTACAGCGGAAAGGCCGAAGGAAAGATTGCAAATCTGCGGGCGTGCCAGAATGGAATGATCTTACTGGTCCGTGGGCACTGTAGGTTTGGCACACAAGCATGATGCTCAGCACTCGGCGTAAGCTTGAGTGCAGGTATATAGCTTGGCCCTGCACCCTCTACCAGTGATCTCCAGCTCCCACAGCCGTCTTTTCCGGACTCAAGCCTCGTCTAATCTCTTGACAAGCCTCGGCAAAGCTTCACAATGGCTCACAAGACAGCTGGCGGCAACGCCGCGTTCCACAACTTCAACAATGACTTCGCGGTATGGTAACACAGTCGATGTCTTAAGTAGCAGCCTTGCTGACTGTCCTTAGCATATTGAAGACCCCAATGAGCGACGCCGGCTTGCCCTCGCTGAGATCGACAAAGCGCCTTTTGGCTGGTACCATGTGCGCGCCATCTTGGTGGCAGGTACCGGTTTTTTCACGGATTCGTACGACATCTTCTGCGTGTCTCTTTTGACGATCATGCTGGGTATCGTCTACAAGCACGACAACAAGGGTGTTCTTCTCACTCAACAAGACACAGCTATCAAGCTTGCAACATCAGCTGGTACTGTTCTTGGACAAGTCGGATTCGGTACACTGGCCGATATTGTTGGACGTAAGAAGATGTATGGTCTTGAGTTGATCCTCATCATCGTCGCCACACTCGCTCAATCTCTCACTGGCCCCGGTCCCGGAACATCAGTTGTCGGTCTGATCATCTTCTGGCGTGTATTGATGGGAATTGGTGAGTCTATTGTCAAGTCATGAATCGACGGCTAGCTAATGACTATCAGGTATTGGTGGTGACTACCCTCTCTCGTCGATCATCACATCTGAGTTTGCCACAACCAAGTGGCGTGGTGCCATGATGGGTGCCGTTTTCGCCATGCAAGGTTTTGGCCAGCTCGGTGGCGCTTTAGTCATGCTCTGCCTCGTCGCTGGCTTCAAGGACACGCTTTCCGGCGTCACAGGCTACGCAGACTGCGATGGTCAGTGCTCTGTTGCCGTTGACAAGATGTGGCGCGCCCTTATCGGAATTGGTATCGTCCCGGCTTGCATTGCGCTCTACTACCGTCTCACCATTCCCGAGACTCCTCGATACACCTTCGATGTCGCCCGTGACGTCGAGAAGGCCAACGCAGACACCAACCAGTACCTCTCGGGTAAGCATGGCAATGGCGACCCTGATGCAATTGCCCAAGTTGCCCAGAACCAGGCCGCTGCTCAGCTAGAAGTTCCCAAGGCTTCCTTCGGCGATTTCTTCAGGTTCTACGGCAAGCTCCGTAACGGCAAGATTCTATTCGGTACCGCCATGTCATGGCTTCTCCTCGATGTTGCATTCTACGGACTTGGTCTTAACTCCTCGACTGTGCTGCAAGCTATCGGCTACGCCAACGGTGACAACCTCTACCTCAAGCTGTACAACCTTGCTGCCGGTAACGCTATCTTGGTTTGCGCTGGAGCCATCCCAGGATACTGGCTTGCAGTAGCCACTATCGACACGGTTGGACGCAAGACACTCCAACTCGCTGGTTTTGTCATGCTCACCATCCTCTTCATTGTCTGGGTACGTAAACATTCCAATTGGATGTGTCAAAATCTCATACTAACTGTTACTCAGGGATTCGCCTACAGCCACCTCAGCCACCATGCCATGTTGGCCATCTACGTCCTTATCCAGCTCTTCTTCAACTGGGGTCCCAACACGACCACTTTCATTGTCCCCGGAGAGTGCTTCCCTACCCGCTACCGTTCCACATCCCACGGAATTTCTGCTGGTTCAGGAAAGATCGGCTCCATCATCGCTCAGGGAGCTATCTCTCCTCTTCGAACTCGGGGCGCTACAGCGACGAACAAGAACCCCTGGTTGAACCACGTCATGCAAATCTTCTCGGCTTTCATGTTCTGTGGTATCTTCACTACGCTGCTGATACCGGAGACCAAGCGCAGGACGCTCGAGGACCTTGCGCAAGACTGGGATATGGGTGATGAGTCTATCACTGGTACGGAGTACGCGCGCAAGGCGGAGAACCGCAGCAGCGACGAGGCTGGTACCACTGAGCTCAAGGCTTAGTTTGCGCTGTCGTTCCGCGCGTCAATCTTTCTTCTCTTTCCAGGCTCACGCCTTCATACCCGTCTTCATGTAGCATCGATACCTAGACTGTAATGCATTTACTCATACTCCATCCAAAAGACCTGTCATCAGCTTTTCTTACCATCCCGTGCCTTCTCTTGTATGGAGATCTCTCTCCGCATGCAGCCGTCTGCTGCGTACCAGAGCACTTCGCCCTTCCACCGTGCGACATGAGATTATACGAAGACTTGGGTCTGGCGCGCTTCGTCTTGATGCCCGATCTCCTCGCGGATAAGTCGTATGAGATACGGGAGGTGTGGTTGGCTCGTCATCTCTGGGTCGCCTCTTGGCCATCGCAGCAGAAAGAACAGATGATGTTTGGATCAATACAAAGATACATATCGATTCCGAGACGTTACATGGTGCGTGATCATGCGTAGAAACGTCCCCTGATCGGCCTTTTCACAACATCCAGTGTGGTACCAAAGCTCAAATGCCCCACCGCTCGGCGGCTTGCTGAGCCATCTCGCTGACCCACGTGAGCATCATACCAAGCTTGAGGCATCTCCACTACGCCCCATGAGAGGAGACTCCTCGACACAGCTACCAAGGCACTGTTGCCCTCCTCGTCGGCCATTGATACAGGCTCGTAGCCTTCTCCTTTTTCGCCCGTCTCCTCGTTGAGTGGGGCTTTGGCTAATGGCGAAACGTGGCAAGCAGCCGCGATGGCCCTCGAATCTGATCCAATGGGCGGCATGTGCCCGGGCAGTCGTAACAAGCCCAGAAGCCAGGGGATCTGGATAGCGGCAACGGCTACGGCAAGTAGGGCGGCTAAGTATGTTGGGGACAAACCCCAGACAAGTAAAAGGTCATTGGGTAGGGTTTGCTCGTCTTTGTAGGCGCTGCTACCTTCATTGTAATCGTCTGATACGAAACATAAGCTTATGTCTGTTGAGTTTGTGTGCGGGTGTGGTGTGTTATCTTTCGATGAATACTTACCATCCGTATATAGTAGCACGAACGAGCTTTGAGAAAGCAGGAAATGCATGATGGCACTTAAACTGATAAGGAGGATGCTGTATTTGTATGGCAGCTGGAGCCTGTAGGTTCCGACCTGTCGACCTCTTATGGGACACTTCGTCAGTTTATCGTTTCGTTTATTGCTTTACCATTATGTTGGCACCACATGGACTTATGGATGTTGAAAGAAGAAGAAGAAGGAGAAAGTACCTGGGCTGCGAGACTCGAAGAGGCCGGAATGATGTGGAAAGCAGAGCCCATTCCTGGCTGAGTTGTAGCCGAGTAAGTATCGCGTTGTACACAAGATACCAGACCGAGAGGAAAAGCTGTGGCATGTTGGCCAAAAGTACCGTGGTGATGAAGGGAACGGGGGATTTTGGCGGCAATATCGAGTAGGCGCTGCTCGAGTCGCGATATTTCCCTTGAACCCTAAATTATCGGGTAAGTAATGAGTATGCCCGTGTGGGAAATGACTCACCATCCCTCTTTCTGTATCATGTGATATTCCTTCCCAAGAAATCCAACTCCAGCCGCGATGCAGGCGATGATTAGCATGTATGTACACTTCCAAGTCCGGGGTGAGAGACAAGATGCCCTTCTTAAAGATGTGTACCGCCACAATATCATATTACCACTCCCAGCGCCGTGCTTCGAAGCTGGCGACACCATGTCCAACCTGCCAGCAGTAGACGCGTCCGGGATGGAGATGAACGAAGCTATCGCATCCCCAGGTGTGACCAAAGGCTCCTGGTTTCCTAGAACCCACACGGCCGTTACGCAGATTATTACTTTAACCAGACAAGCTAACGTGACCGTCAAGAGAAGCGGATTTGAGACACCTACATAACAGGCGGCATCATCCCCCTGGAGAGAGACCTCGGCATCGGCCGACTGCAGTATGATACTGTTGAAGAGCAAATGCAATGGCAACGATGTAATTAACAGTGCGACCCAGGCCACAGTCTTGAAGCGAGACAATCGCAGTGCGTTCCGCCATGAGAGCACTCCGATGTCGACAGGCCTGCCCCGCGCGTGCGAAACGTCCACCTCTGCACGCGTTGGTGAGCTGAGTACCTGCGAAAAGAAACTAGAAGACGCCAAGATCGCGCTGGACACGGCGTTGACAAGTAGATGGAGGACCGTGTTGATGTTACCCGCCGTCGGTTCGCGGCAGGGCGATTCGTGGAACAGGAAGCCGTTGCGCACGGCGGCTCCTCGGTCATTGGGGACGTATTCGCCATTGAGGAGACGTCTTGATATCTGTGTGAGGTCTGTTTGGAGGATCGCAGCCACGGTGAAGCCGCATAGTAATAGTGTTAGAAGTGTCATCGCGCCGATGTTCAGGATGGCTAGTCTCCTCCATCCGGTTAGCGTGGGGAGGAGCTTCGGGAAGCAACGGTTTAGCCTGCCCATGATTGTACAAACACTAACGAGAGTGCAAAAACTAGGAGGATGAAGATAGGAAGCTAGGGACTTTTTAATCGTTATGTTTAAAAGACCTAAATAGCTATTGCCTTAGCTGCGCTATCTTATAAGATAGTAGAGGCTATGTAGAATAAGAGCCTATTTAGCGATTATCGTATTTAATATAACGCTAAGAATATAACATTATATAACCTATTATATGCCTGCGTTTAGCAATAAGCAATTTATACAATAGTAGTAGAATGCGTTCTACAAAATATAATATATTTAAAAGCTATAGAATATATTATATTATAGTCTAATTAGAGTAGAGAATTTTATTATATAATTTTAGAAATTATTCTACGCTTTTTAGGCGCTGTATAAGTATATAATAGTAGTAGAATAGCTTAAATTAGTTAAAAAGGTAGTTGTTATTATATAATGTGCAGTAAATTAAAGCTTTACTATATTCTACTGCTACTTATAATAAAGCATCTTACTACTACTTATAACAAAGTATTCTACTACTACTTACAACAAAAGTATTCTACTACTACTTATAATAAAAGCATTCTACTACTATAGTATAACAAGAGCATTCTACTGCTATAGTATAATAAGAGTATCTTACTACTATAGTATAACAAGAGCATTCTACTACTATAGTATAATAAGAGCATTCTACTGCTGTAGTATAATAAGAACATTCTACTACTACTTATAATAAGAGCATTCTACTACCGCAGTATAATAAGAATATTTTACTACTACTTATAATAAAAGTATTCTACTACTATAATAATTAGCCTACTAGCTCTAAAGCCTTATTGTATTCTACTACTGCTTACTTATATTAGGTCTGTAGGCATCTTACTACTATAAACTAGCTTACTAGCCTCTATAGTCTTTTTATATTCTACTACTACTAATACGCTCTTAAGCCCTCTATACATTTTACTACTACTTATACGCTCTAACCTTGTTGTATTCTACTACTACTTATAATAAGAGTATTCTACTACTACTTATACGCTCTAACTTCTATACATTCTACTACTACTTATAGGCTCTTAACCTCTATATATTCTACTACTACTTATACGCTCTAACCTCTACATATTCTACTACTACTTACACGCCTTAACCTCTACGCATTTTACTACTACTTACACGCCTCTAAGCACTCTACATATTCTACTACTACGCGCTAGCTTACTAGCTACTATCTTAAAAGTAGAATGTTCTCTTAAAGCAAAGTAATTCTATAGTAACCTTAGAACCTACTAAGTAAATAAGAACTAAGGCAGCTCTACTATAAGATAATAACGCTAGAGGCTCTGCTTATAGTAAGCTGCCTTAGTAGGCACTATTAACACTAGATGCTCTACTCTACTCTTAGTAAGCTACCTTAGTAGGCACTATTAACGCTAGAGGCTTTGCTCTGCTCTTAGTAAGCTGCCTTAGTAGGCACTATTAACGCTAAAGGCTCTACTTATAGTAAGCTGCCTTAGTAGACACTATTAACGCTAGAGGCTTTACTTATAGTAAGCTACCTTAGTAGGCACTATTAGTGCTACTAACGCTTAATACTCTGCTTGTGTAGTTCTAGTATACGTAGATAATAATAGCTGTAGTAGCTAGCACTATACTTGCATAGTAAGCTACCTTAATAGTAACTAGTAGTGCTGTTAATACTATACTTCTCTTTACTCTTATTAATAGCTATAATACACTAGTAGCCTTGTATCTTACTACTATAACAACTAGCTTACTAGCCTCTAAGGCCTTATATTCTACTACTATAATAACTAGCTTACTAGCCTCTAAAGCCTTATATTCTACTACTTTATATCTTACTACCTTATATTCTACTACCTTATATTCTACTACCTTGTATATGCTCTTCTCTATATCTCTCTACTTACTAAGCCTACTACTTTAGCAGAACTTAGGCTATACTTTCTCTAAGAAGCCTTCTATTAAGACAGCCTAGGCGCATAATAATACTATAGATAGAAATAAGGCGTTGCATTCTACTACTCTATACCTATTCTACGTCTACAAGAACAGCCTAGGCGTATAATAATACTATAGATAGAAATAAGGCGTTGCATTCTACTACCTCTTACCTATCTTAAGTCTATAGGTATTCTACTACTACAGCAACTATCTAACAAGCCTCTAAGCCCTTATTATATTCTACTACTACTTACTTAACCTAAAAATATAGATATTCTACTACTACTAGAATTAAGGCATTTTACTACTCTATATAAGCAAAAAAAGGTAAGAAAAAAAAGGTAAAAAGAAAGAATAGATAGACTAGAGATTAAACTTAGAACCTCTATAAATAAGTATTATAGTTAGATAGTAAGTATATAAAGAAAGTAAAATAACCTAAGTTAAGTTTTATCTACTAATATATATCTATAGCGCTCTACTACTAAGCTACTTGTCTATATTACTTAATAAATAGTAGTTACCTTAGTTAGTATATATAGAATAGCAAGAGCATAGTAGTAAGAGCATAGTAGTAAGAGTATAGTAGTGTACTATTACTGCTAGTAGAGCTA